CGAGATTGACAAGGAGTCGCTCATGCACAATATCATGCACGCGCATGATCTCGGATCACGCAAAGGCTGCGCCTGGCTATGCCTGGAGGTACCGACCGGCTTTCGATGACAAAATAGTAAGTTAAGGTAGCTCTCTGGGTGTTTGAAGGGTGTTTTTGGAAAAGGGGTAGTACATGAGGAGGGATGGGTGGATGCCCCTCTGGGGAGGGGAGGAGCACTTGGAGGGCGGGGAAGAAATGCAACAGGACCGATCCCAACTCAGCGGAGTCAAGCTGGGTCGAGTCTGGACGACGATTTCCGGGAAGTGGATTTTGCGTGTTTTTTGCGTTTTGGGGCGCGTTGCTGAGGTGAACTTGGAGCACTTGAACTCTGGATTCCCGCGTTCGTTTTGGGTGATTTGAGGTGTAGTGGTGAACGAGTACAACCTATGGTTCTAGCATCTAAGCTTTATCCCAACCGTCCAGCACCGCCATGGCGAACAACACATGGCGGGACAGGAGCGTGCACGGCGGCACCGCCTGGCACTTCGGCCACTGTGGAATCACCTCGGGTGCCACTGGCGACTGCTCTATGGGACTTGTCGGCTCGTTTGGCCTGAGCAGCCAGGCTGCAAAGAGCGGCTGGCCCACTGCAATCCATGAGTGCGTCCTCAAATGCCGAAGCTGTGAGCAGTGCAGGTACGTCACGGTTTCGCTCCAATATCAAGACTGCAGCTGGTACCATGAGTGTAGCTTGGAAGATATCAAGTCCGAGCGGCTCTTCCGCAGCGGTATGGTGAGCCGAGGCGGCACTGCTCTGCCGCGGCGCAAGAAGCGTGTGGCGCTTGTATTCTTCGGTAAGCATGGACACTTCGACGAGCAGAGTGGCTCGGCCTTGCGCTCACAAAGTATGCTGCCTCGACATCGCGCGAACGAGCGGTTGCTTCAGGTAGCGCACGCTGCTTGGACAAGCCAACTGCTTCAAACCAATGCACGCGACATATCCTTTGACGTCTTTGCCCACAGCTGGTCGCCGGAAACGTCGACTTCATTCACGGAGCTGTGGCGTGGCATGATCCGCCGTCAGAAGCACGAGCCAACGCGCTACGCTAACACCACCGCCTCGTCCTCCAGCGACCTCGTCTTCCGCTGCCGTGTGCCTGCGATTGGCTGCGAGAGGACCGTGTCGCAAGTGCTGTCGCTCGAAAAGGCTCTGTCGCTTCGCCGCGAGCACGAGCTCGAGGTGGGCGAAAAGTACGATCTGGTGCTCGTGGCTCGGCACGACATAGCGCTGCTGCGGCCGCTGAGACTGCCGCCCGCCGTCTTCGGCTTGGCTGGACGCGACGTCGTCTTCCCCTTCTACTGCCCGGGACGCTGCCAAGGAGAGCCGGCCGTCACGCCGAGTGGCGCGACGTCATGCACGCTTGGCGGACAGCAGTGTCCCGTGACATACGGCGGGCGCTCACCGGCAGAGTTCACGTACTGGATGATCGATTGGCTCTTTCTCGGCGCCCCCGATGCGGTCGATGCGATGGGCGACGCGACGCGCCGTCTGAACGAGTACGCGATGGCGCTCTCCCGATTCTCGCCTTACCTGGGCACACACGCGCTATGGCCGTGGCACGCTCTCAGCACCAATCTCAGCCTGCACTGGGGGCTGCTTGTGACCGAGCGCGATGTCACTCTGGCGCGCCACGTTGCGACCGGCACGCTTAGCCGCGCGTGCTGGTGGGAGCGCAGCGGCCCGCCGCCCGAGCCTCTCCACCTTCAGAGGCCGGCGCTCCTTGACCAGATGTGCCCTTATGCGAAGCTCTCCAAGTGCTCATGTCGTACACATGAGCGGGCTCTGGTTACGAGCCGCAACGGCGAAATCGTAGATGTCCCAGCGTTGGTGTAGTAGGTGGACCGCGGTATACCGGACCACGTCCACGCGGTGACGAAATCCAGCGCGGCAGCATGGACGCGGGCCTTTCCCGGGCGACGGACTGTGCATGCGCATGCGCCGCGCACGTACACAGTACCGAGTCATGTCTGACACTTGACACAGTTGGTATTCAAAGTCAACGCGTTGCAGCGGTAAGTCGGTTTTATGGTAAGGACGACGGCGGAGGTGCGTGGGTGCGTCCACGCTAAGGACATTCGGGATCTCTCAGGGGAAGGGAGGAGGAAGGTAGGTCGATGGCAGACGGCAGCCCGCCTCCAGTGGTAGGGGGTGGCTAGCGTACCCCTTTTCCGGGGGTCGGCCCACCGGCTTTTTGTGCGCGATTGCGTCTTGGGTTTGGCAGAGCCCCAGGTCGCCCCGCTGGCTCGTCGCTGCTTGCGCTTCGTTTATGGAGACCGCACTTCTCCATGCCACATTCGCTCGGCATGTGCCGAAGCCAACGGGGAGAAGCTGTGGCTCCGCCAAACCGTATCGGCGAGAAAAGGTGCTGATCGAGCGACGAGACAAGAAAAGTTCGCGCGGGGCGTCGGCAGGGCCCGCGAGTTGCTGTGACTGGTCGGCACGACCGATCCGCTTCACCGCATTGCCTGCGCCCATCCCGTTACTCTTTCTTTCTTGCTGTCTGCATCGTATCGTTGTCACGGAAAAAAGTCAGTCGTGCGTGTCTGTCTGTGTTGTTGAAATGCAATGTGTGTTGGCCAAATGGCTCATATTAAGCTTAGTTCTATAGAACTGCTCGGCCCACCCCTGATCCTGCTGAACAAGCTCCTCTTGTAGCTCGATCGGTCACACCGCCATCACCGTCGAGGAGAGGGGGACGACACTGCTTCGGCAGCGTGCACCTCGATCCTGTACCGTGTTTGTTACTGTCCACTATGAAAGTGTGGACCGGCGTGAACAGCAGCTCCTGACCACGGCGCCGCAGGCGCCTGTTGATAGGTCCAGGTGATAGCCCTGGATAGGCAATGCATACGCCTAGTTGGGCCTCGGATCGCCCGACCGCGTCCCGGTGCTCTGTGGTCGGATTTGTGACGCCGACGTACCGCGCCGCGGCCGGGGGCCCTCCGGAGGCCGAGGATGGCCGTGACGGACCGGGACGAGCTCTGGGAGGTTCAGTGTCAGTGTATATATTGTAGAGACGAATCATGTCCACAATATCTTTCAATCTAGCTAAGCCTGGGAAGGCGATGCCGGGGCCGTACAGCAGCTTGATCGGAGAGAGAGAGAGAGTTGTTGTTTTGTTTGTGAGCTTAGCCTTCGATGTTATGAAACAACGCAAGGCGGACATGGCATATCGCTCTCGGGCCCACAGACATCCCGCACACTCGCCGCACACCCGCCGCCCCCGCGCGCGCCCCACCCCGGCCGGGAGAGAGGGGAGTGACAGTTTGGGACGGCGACAGCCCGAGTATGTTGAGGCTTTGTTTGTTGCTTGATGGTGTTTCGCCGGCGTGCGTCCCGGAGCGGTCCGGACGGGCGGTCCGGGGGACAAAATCGGGGGACAACGCCGACGGCGCCCTGATTCGACTTTTAACTTCAAACAAAGCCTACCGCACGCGCCGCGACGCGGCGCGTGCGGTAGGCACTCGGGATTTTGCCAGATCGGCGTGTTCATGCCGGGATCGTGTCCCCGACAACCTGCCCAGACTTTAGGCTTGGACAGTATGCCCCCCCCCCCCCATGAACACTCCAGTGAGGGAGGGCGAGACAATCGAGGGGTCCCGTACCACGCGGAATCGACCCTATCCAGTGCTCAAGTGCTCAAGGAGCAGGAGAGAGAGCTTTTGTGGTGTTGGTGTACGCAATAACGGGACAGGGTGGTTGTTCTCTCTATCTCCTCTTCTAGCTCTTAGCATGAGCTGCGCCCTGTGTCCGACCCCTTTTGCGCAGCAACACCTTAAACTTTTAGGCCCTCCAAATTCGGGTCGGAGCGTAGCGGAGTGGGCCCCGAGTTTGAAAAGGTCGACGGACGCTTGCGTCCTAGCCTCCAACAACGCCTCCCCGGCGCAGAGGGGAAGAGAGACTCCTTATCAGCTGGTCGGCCGCCATGCTGGCCTCCGGGCCTGCCGCGGCGGCGCGGCCGGCCGAGGCCGGGCTCGGCCCGGCCCGCGACGGCTGGCCGCCGACGAGCGCGCTCGCGCTGCTCCGTGCTCGTCAAAATGGCGGCGGTGGCGATTGCGGCGACGGTCGTTCAGTCGTACAGCGCTCAGGCGTCTGTCGTCTGTCGTCTGTTGTCGCATTTCGCACACGCGCGCGCCGCGCGACCCGCGTCGCTCCGCGAGGGCATGAGCCTTCCGCGATTCGATCCCGCAGCCAAAAGCTGCTCGCTCGAACCGCGGCCGACTCTACCATCGCGGCCGCAGCTGTTGCGCTCTCCAGAAGACTGGTGCCTCATATGCTGCCTCCCTGCGGATGCTGCCGGCGAGCCTGGCGGTCCGCTGTACTACAAGGAAGTGCTGACTCGATGCCTACTCGAATTCTTCTACCCCCACGACTCGGAACGCGAATGTGACAGGACCATCGGGTCCTTCGGCCACCAAAGCGAGATCACCCGAGAGCAGCTGAGCCTGCCTCTGGCCTCGCCTCCCTCTCCTTCAGGCATTCGTGGCATCCTATGGGTCGTCCAGAGTATCGACCTCTGGCTTGTCAGCCGGTCACTTGATGACACCATGAAGTACAGCGATCGCCACCTCGCTGGCCTCTCCGCAACGCGCAAGGCCCCCCGACCGCGTCGAACTCATCGGCGCGGGCTCTCTCGGCTACGGGACCGGCCCCAGCTTCGGCTGAGGGCTGACAAGCTGCCGAGCCCAAATCACTGTGAAAGTCGTGATTTCTTGTTGATTTTCTAAAATCTTCTTCCAGAGGGGCCCCCGAAGGGACTGCGTAATTATGGCGAAGAGCAAGAACCTGCAGTAACTAGTGCCGGCGAACTGATGGACCTCTCTCCAGCGGAGGGAACGACACGGCCCGATTTCTTCTGGGTCGCGTACACCTCCTTCATGGGGTCCCGTACCATGCGGAATCGACCCTATCCACTGCTCAACCACGCTTGTCTCTTTTTCCCGCAACCATTGGAGGCGCCTTGCTTGTTGTTTGCCGCCGCCCACGCCCCCATGCCTTGCTGCTGACGAATGACGCCGACCACCGAGCCGGACGCAAGTCCGGAGGAGCACAGCGGGGACTCGTCACACTCCTCACCGCAGCACTTCGCCGTTCGTCTCGCGCGGACCATATCGGGCGACTCGGAGGGCGGGAGTGGCAGGCCAAGAAAGGGTAGCGACGCGGCGCGAGCGCGCTGGAGGCAGGCAAACACCCTGATCGCGATCCGGCGGCTGCAGCATGGCCGTTCCGGCGCCGGCTCTCCACCCGCGGGCGAGGTGCACGCACGCAGCGCTGACGGCTCCGCGGAGGCTGGGGTTGTGGCGAGGCAGGGACCCGTCTCGCGCCCGGCCGCGTACCTCGCCTTTCTGCCCGGCTTCACGCCGGATCTGGAGGCCGAGTACTTTCGGTACTCGCTCGCCGCGTCGCGCGGCGCCCTGCTGCGCACCGCCTTTATCCTCGCGCTGCGCCCCGTCTGCCTCACCCTCTTCCTGGTGCCTGTCAAGCTCGACGTGCAGGCGGACCTGGCGGGCGGCTGGCTGGGCGCGGCGCTCCTCCTCGGCCGCCTCTCCGTCTGCCTCTCGGCGGCGGGCCTCGCGGCGGCGCTCTGGCGCGCGGGCCGCGTGGCGGTGCTCGACTACCCAGCCACGCTCAGCGCCATGTTCCTCGCCCTGCTCTGGTGCGACGGGTTCCTGATGACGGCTGCCGACGTGCTGCACAGCTCGAGCAGCAAACAGGTGGCGCCGCCGCTCTCCCGCCGCGGCGTGCTTTGCCCACCCCACCGACGCGCCCGCGCCGGTCCGCCTCTCCGCAGGTGCTGCTCGTGCTGATGCACCTGCTTGGGTACGCGACCCTGGTGCCGCACCTGCAGGCGAGGCACGCGACGCTCACCTTCTGGTCGCTGCTCGCCGCACGGCTGGCGCTGCTCCGCGCCTTTCCGCAGCCCGGCCTGCGCCTCGCCTCGGTCGCGATCCACGACGCCGTCGTCAACCTCGCCTGCATGTGCCTCGCCTGCATGGCCGAGGCACAGAACCGCGACAACTTCTCGAGGCGGCGCGGCGCGGGGCGGGAGGCGGCGGAGGCTCCTCCCTGAGCCGTCTCGGGGCTGCCCCCCTAGGCACAAGCTGCTCGAGGAGGAGGAGGAGGTCAAGGTCGCTCTCCGCGACGGCGCGCCGCGCCTCCCTCCCGCAAAGACTCGTCCCACGATCCGTCCACAACCCCGTCCCTGACGTGTCCTGACGTGTCTCTGTACGTGACCCTGACGTGTCCCTGACGTGACCCTGACGTGTCCCTGGCGTGTCTCTGTACGTGCCCCTGACGTGCCCCACCCAGGCGTGCAGCGGCTCCTCCTCAACACCCTCCCGGCGCCCATCGTGCGGGACATCGCGTCGGGGTCGACGCAGGTGGCGCACAGGTATGACGAGGTGACGGTGCTGCAGGCGGCTGCGCGGTCGGCTCGGTGGACGCTCCCTGGGCACAGGGCCATGACGTGTCCCGGGCCTGCCCTCCTGCAGGCGGACATGGTCGGCTTCACCAAGCTCTCGAGCGAGCGATCCGCCGACTTTGTCCTCGGCCTCCTGTCCGACCTGTTTGCGAAGTTTGACGGGCTGGCCGAGGGGTACGGCGTGCACAAGGTCAAGACGATCGGCGAGCAGCGCAGTCGTCCGCTGCGGGCCGCACGCGCGAGAAGTGCCTTTTCACCCCCCCCCCCCCCCCCTCTGCTGCGGACAGGCGACGCGTACATCGTCTGCTGCGGCGCCTTTGGCGAGGCGAGAGGCAACCCCGCCGACGCGGCGCGGCGCGTCGGCGCCATGGCGCTCGGCATGATCGGCGAGGTGCAGGCCATCAAGGAGGAGCGCAAGGTGGGCCACGCCGGCCTCGGCTGCTCCCTTCCCCGCGCGACCCGCAGCGTGAAGACGCGCGCTGTTCGCACCCTCCAGGTGGACATCGACATCCGCGTCGGCGTCCACACCGGCACCGCCATCGGAGGCATCATCGGCACGGCGCCCCTCCCACCTCGACGCTTCCGGCAGCTGTGAAACGGCGCCTCGTCACGGGGCGGAGCTGTCGACAGGTCCGCTTCCACTTCGACATCTGGGGCCGCGCGGTGGCGGGCGCGCTGCGCCTCGAGGAGCTTGGCGCCGCCGGCCGCGTCCACGTCTCTGACGCGACGGCGCGCCACGGACCCCTCGCGCCGCGCACCGCCGGACCCCCGCCCGCCCCCCCCTCCCCCTCGCACCACCCCCCCGCCGCCCGCCCACCCGTCCGCCTCGCCCCTCCGCCCCATCCCCGCCCGCAGGCGAACCACCTCTGGCACACCTTCGCGCTCTCGCCCGCGCCCGGCAACGGCGACGGGATGGGCACGGCGGCAGAGGGCGTCTTCCCGGCCCACATGGGCATCCACCGCACCTACTACGTCGAGGAGCGGAAGGACCTGCTCCCGGCGTCGCAGATGCACCTGCTGGGCGGGCCGCGCCTGGAGCGACCCGTCGCTCGGGCGTGCGTCGCGACGAGCGTGGCCTGTGTTGCTGCTGTAGGCGGCTTGCACCTCGACGACGAGGCGCTCGAGGGGCACGTGCCGAAGAAGCCATTCCCCGGCATCGAGCTCGGGACGTACCGGGACGGCTCGTCGGTCGACGTCTCCTCCTCTGGCA